GAATTCACGCTGAGGAAAATACATAGGCACCATGGGATAGGGGGTTGGATGATCAGACGTAGGGGACCCCTGGAAGTAGCGATAGTCGGGGTAAGCTCCTATGGGATATGGGTATCCGGGTTGCTGGAATTGATGCGCGAACCCAGGAAGAGGAGCGGGATATCCGGCATGCCGAGTGGGAGGCGCAGTATGATTCCAAGCAGCAGGATTTGGGTGGGTACGAGGTCCACCTGGCACGTCAGGAGCGTTGGGCCTTGCAGTCGGGCCACCTTGATCAGAAAGGGGGCGAGGGGTCTCAGCATCTTCAGGGTGAGCGCGGTTCGCAGCCGGGGAGAGGACGAATGGTGATGATTCCGGGGACCTGGCCGCCGGAATGGCCACTTCTACCACGGAACGAGCCGTAGGAGCTTGATACCCCTGGTTGTCGCCGGGAAGGCTAGCCGAAGCGATGGGTGGGACATTGTCGGACATGTCGATACACGATGATTGCTGTTGCGTTTGCGTTGGTGGTATGGCTTTTTCCTTGTGTATGTTGTTGGAAATATGAAGACGGTTGTCCCTTGCAACTCCAGTATGTGGGCATGAGTTACATCTACCCAGATCAGAGGGAAAGTGTCCTCGTCTCCTTGCTTTTGGGTTCCTGATGTCCTGAGTCAAACTGACCCGGAAATCCCCACGATTGTCCACCATCGCTAAACAACACACCAGGAGGATTCCTCCTAACCAAAGATAGGAGAGGACTTTGATAGTTGACGCGGAGATAAGGTCCACTAACGAGCTAGTCTCAACCAATGCTCTTAGTTCACTTCCCGGTCCCATCCGGACCACACACTTGACTCTCCACTCGCGGGCAGAAAGTTTAGAGTTTGGTCGATGATGAAAGAGCTTTATCCGATCAGACGGAGAAGAATCGTTTCCGTTAAACCTCGCGGGGTTCAGTGAAGTTGTCGGTGCTTGTTGTCGTTCGTGGCTTCGCACTTCCTCCAGTACCCAGGGCTTGTGAGTCCAGTTTGGACCCTGAGCTTTGCTCAACCCGGGCACGACCTCCATTTGAAATGGTGAGAAAACACACAAAACAACCACAACACCACAAATATACTCTCAACAGGTCTCAGAATGAACACACCTGCGTGACAGTGACTCGCTCGCAGGCCGCACTTCACGTAGGACAAAGAAAAGACACTATGGGCTCGCAGGCCACATAATAAGCACCGGATTGGCCTGATCAGAGGGCCAGAATTGCCTGCACGCGTGCAAGGCACAAAATACGAAGCAAAGAATAAAAGTCGATGTCCTGTCTAAAATAGAATGTCCGAAGCAGACCGCTTATATACATGACCCCTGAACCCCTGAGTCCTCTGAGAGCCCCGCTTCCTTACTCATACTCTCAGGCCTGTGGCCGCACCCCAAACCATTATAGAGCGGTAGCTTTAGCGCTTGGTTATCCCGGGACTTCGGGTTGCTTCAGGAAGCCGAGTTCCGTTCCAGCAGCTGTAATCCCTAAGCACTACTGATCCAAGCCATTGTATTACCTCTGAGGCCCTATACTTTACAGGGCTTAGATACACTGTGGAATCCACAAACAAAAGCTGTATTTTAACATATTATTAATTTAACCGAAAAAAAACTACTTATTATAGTAAAAAAAATTTAAAGTATAAAAGTTAAAAAGTGAATAATAAAATAAAAATAAAATTTTGAAAACAATATTATTAAATTTACTTTAAAAAGTTTATTTAGAAAGATGTTTTAAATTTATAAAAAATCAACGAAATTATATAAAGTAACCGATAAAAAATTCTTTTTTAACTTTTATAAAGCACTTAAGTATTTTTAATATTACCATTTCCATTTATCTTTGGCTTTTTTAACTAACTAATGTTACAATTAATAATATACTTATGATTATAACCTAATCAATTTATAAATTTTAGTTTAAATAGTTCTTTCTACCGAGATCTAATAAGTAAATTATTACACTATACTAGATAGGGAATAGCCACAACCGTGGCTTGTATGGGGAGAGGGAAATCCCAGCTTTTTAGCTCCCCCAATGAACAAAGCCTCTTGTAGATCATAGAATTTCCAACGGTTGGTCGCTGGTGAAAGCTTCAACCATAGCTTGTTCAAATCCTTCCGGCTGGGTCGGAGAGCGATAACACTACCCGAAGTCCGAGTGCAAGACATCTTCGGAGACTTATTCTACCAACAAAACAACAGAGATAACGAAGCTTTTGTAATCTACTGGTGGTACCTCCAAGTGCCGTTCTAAATCAATGACGCACGAGGCAGGTTTCCATCCCGCATCCTTCATCGGCAGTCGGGTGCTGCATTGTCCGGATGACAAATGCACCTGCCGGTGGGATGCATTGCCAGCTCTCCTGCACAATTCCCTAGGTATGCAGAAGTCATAACAAACACTCGCAATTACAACCTTATACAGTAAGATACATTTTTCTGCTGAATTCTGTTTATGCCAGCTCCTGTGCGGCAAAAAACTTCTTCGACTCGTGACATCTGTCGCTCTTGCAGCCAGGACACCTCAAACTCATCTGTGGTGAAGTCGCAATCCCGCTGTCCAGATGGGTCTTGGCCAAGTCAGCCAAAGCCTTGATAAACACAGGGCTGTCGTTCAAACTCTCCACACGCTTGACAGTGTCCTTGTGGCCCGACTCGCCAATCACCTCCTCATCGAGCTCGTAGAGAGTCTCGATGTGATCGGAGGTGAAGGCAATGGGAATCAAGACCAAGTCCTTCTGATCCTTGGCAATGTACTCTTCAACTGACATCTGGGTTTGCGGGCCGAGCCATGGCTGAGGGCCAACCTGAGATTGCCAGCATAGTCTGTAAGGGTTGACATGGCCTAGTCTCTGCATGACAGCGTGGACTGTCGCACCAACTTCGGCAGGATAGGGATCGCCTAGATGCATGTTAGCACTGCGGCTGCGTAACCAGACAAGACTGTAACATACCCCTATTCACGACCGTCATAGGCAAGCTGTGCGCAGAAAACAGCAAGACAACCTTGTCCCTCCTCTCGGGAGGATACTCCTGCAACTTTGCCTCAATGTTTTGCGCAAAAGCCTCGACCAATCCAGGGTGGACCGGCCATCGATCAATCACACTCCACTTGATAGTCCCATCGCTCCCGTCGTCCAGCGGCCCGGCCTTACCCTCCAGCCTCTGCCTCCACTTCCAGAGCTCGTTCAGACTGCTTCCCGTTGTCGAGCAGGAATACTGTGGGTATTGTGTAAAAGCAACGGCGCGACCTCCTTTTCCATTACCAAAACCATCCGCCAATAATTGCCGGTACATATGCTCGGTCAGGGGGTTGGCGTAGCGGAAGGCGACGTAGGGCTTATGAGGGGCAGTCTCAGGGGAGATCTGGTCGAGTAGCTTGCACATCTCCGCGCATTGGAGCTCAGACCATTTGCGAATGGGCGAACCGCCACCGATGGCAGCGTATTGCTTCTGGATTTTGGGGGTACGACGCTTCGAGATGAGGGGACCGAGGTAGTTTTGCAGGCGGCCAAGAGGAATGAGATCAGCATCGGCCTGGCAGACGAAAACACAGTCAGTCAAACCTGTCACCGGCGAGGAATAGGAAAGCGTTGGTAGGATTGGCGCACAAATAATCTACTGAGGAAATCGCCAACTTCATCCGTTGTGGAGGGGCCGCCCATATTCAGGAAGACCATGGCTGTCGGCCCCCGAGAGCTGGTCATGTTCTGTGTTACTGGGAACGGTGTCGGTGTGGCAAGCCATCGTGTTTGTTGCGCAGCAGGCTTAAGGAGGACTGAAGATCGCAGAGGGCGCAAAGCGGCGGCCGGGAGTCGGAAGCCCATGGCTATGACGGGGTCAGGCAATCCGGGTGTGGCTTGTGATTTTATAAAAGAATCACACAGCCGAAATCCCGGGATGGTTTGGCGTGGAAAGTTGACGATCGAGGGTCAGACACACAGGTGAGGCTTTGAAATATGTCACCGGATGACTTCTGGAACTGTTCGTGTAAAAAGTTCGGACAGAGTGTCTGGGTGGCGATGTCGGGGTAAATTGAGAGATGTTCTGGACACTTTCTTATTACTCCGCATGTTTGCCCCGAATGGTTCGGTAGCAATTGCTGTCGGCCGACTTTTGCGATCTTGGCCTTCTCCAATGACGTTGGAGATCGGTCCGTGCAGCAGCTGCCAATAAGAGCGCTTCAATTGCTTTGTTCGTGACAAGGAGGCACGTGATTTGGCGTTTAGGCAGTCGCGCGCCTGCCTGGTTCTAGCGCGTCTCAACCTGGTTGCATCATACATAATTCAATTTCGCCCGTTGAGTTGCGAGAGTCAATTATCCCTTGAATTGCGAAATATTCAATTCTCATCAATTGGACGGCGTGTGGAAACTCAATTTCTCAGGAACACTTCAACAACTAAAAGGAGTTTGTTTCCTATCGGAATGGCCTGGGGAGACGATGAGGAGCGCCGCTATGGGGGCGAAGAGGAGGAGGATGAGTTGGATGAGAATGTTGGTGAAAGTCCAATGATTATTATCAGAGTTGAAGCTGACCGAGACGTCAGGACTACAAAACTCAAAAAGATGCCGTACTGTTCGCCATTGACGTGAGCGCGTCCATGTTGCAGCCACCTCCGAGTAGCGACGACAAGAAGTCCGATAAGGATTCCGCCGTGGTTGCCGCCCTGAAATGCGCCCATCAATTTATGCAACAGCGTATCATTGCCCAACCAAAAGATATGATGGGTATCCTGCTGTTTGGGACTGAAAAGTCCAAATTCCGCGACGACACTGGTAGTCGGAGTGGCTCTGGCTATCCTCACTGCTACCTCTTCACTGAGCTCGATGTCCCAGGAGCGGAGGATGTCAAGAAATTGAGAGATTTGGTAGAGGAGGGAGAGGATGCCGATGAGGTGCTCGTTCCATCCAAGGAACCGGTACTCATGTCGAATGTGCTCTTTTGTGCCAACCAGATTTTCACGACCAATGCTGCCAACTTCGGCTCGCGAAGACTGTTCATCATCACAGACAATGAGAATCCACACGGGAACGACAAACAGGCCAAGTCATCGGCAGCTGTTCGTGCCAAGGATCTCTATGATCTTGGTGTGACGATTGAACTATTCCCTGTCAGCCGGGCGAAGAAGCCCTTCGACCTCTCAAAATTCTACGATGTAAGTAATCCTGGCACATTTACCCGTCTGTGGCCTAACAAGTGTAGGATATCGTCTACCGCAGTTCGGTCGAGGAAGGGGACAACCCTGAAGGAGTCAAAACATCAAGATCGGGCGATGGCCTGACTCTTCTCAACTCCTTGATCTCCAATATCAACTCAAAACAAACACCAAAGCGATCTTATTTCTCCAGGATGCCCTTTGAGCTTGCTCCAGGTCTTACGATCACAGTCAAGGGCTACATGCCACTCCACCAGCAAAAGCCCGCCCGCACCTGCTATGTGTGGCTTGGTGGAGAACAAGCCCAACTAGCTCAATCTGAAACTACCAAGGTTGATTCCGAGGCCAGAACCGTTGAAAAGAGCGAAATCAAAAAGGCCTACAAGTTTGGCGGCGAGTACATTTACTTCACCCCCGAGGAAGCAAAGTCCTTGAAGGAACTCGACACCAAAGTTCTCCGCATCATCGGCTTCAAGCCACTGGCCAACATCCCAATGTGGGCCTCAGTCAAGAAGTCAACATTCATTTTCCCAAGCGAGGACGGTTACGTCGGTTCAACCCGTGTATTTTCGGCTCTTTGGCAGAAGCTATTGACTTCCAAGAAGGTCGGGATCGCATGGTACGTTGCTCGAAAGAATGCCAATCCTGTCATGGTGGCTGTCATTCCGTCGGGAAGCCTCAACGACGAGGACGAGGATTCAACCGCACCATATCTCCCTGCAGGGCTCTGGCTTTATCCCTTGCCCTTTGCAGACGATATCAGAAGCGTTGAAATCAAGACCTCCACCAAGCCTGCGGATGAGCTGACAGACAAGATGAGAGAAATCATTCAGAACCTTCAACTGCCCAAGGCCACATACAACCCTCTTAAATACCCAAACCCTGCTTTGCAGTGGCACTACAAGATTCTCCAGGCCATGGCGCTTGAAGAGGATGTTCCAGATGCCCTGGATGACTTGACTGTGCCAAAATACCGGCAAATTGACAAGCGGGTAGGTGCGTATATGGCCGAGTGGAAACAAGAGTTGGCGGACAAGGCGAAAGAGTTTATGCAACTCCGAGCCACTAAACGCGAACTCGAAGAAGACGATGCGGAAGAAAGACCACGACTGGCTAAGCGGCCAAAGACCGCAGCAGGCAGTGCTAGTTCTGGTGGTCAAATGAGCAACGCAGAGCTCAAAGCTGCCTGGGAGAACGACACATTGAAGAAGCTCACGGTGGCTGTACTCAAGGATATCTTGACAAGCAAAGGAATCAGCACAACTGGAAAGAAGGTTGATTTGTTGGAGAGACTCGAGCAATGGATCGAGGAGCATGCGTGAGGGAGGCTGGCCTCATGTACTCATGTTTGTTTGGATTAGTAATAGCGCGGCATTGGAATGAACCGCTTTGACTTACACATGCCGTGTACAACTGGGCTTTACTATTTGGCTCTACAATACTTCACTCTTTTATACTTTCGATGTTGAATGTTGTTATCTATACTTCTCGTACATAAAGCATTTGAGAGTCGGAATCCACATATCGAAGAGAACCCTAACCCTACTTCTACTACTCTCGTAAAGACCAATAACCGCATTTTCCATTCGGCTGCCTCTCCCGGACTGGGCAATTTCCAGCTGACACTTACACTTATTTGCGACACGCAAGGCCATACCGCTCCCAGCCGCAGCCAAGTATGCACACAGCGACAGACCCCACCTGATTTTCGAGCTGCCCGCCACGCGCGTCTTCTGTGTCAATTGCTGCGATTGCCCACCACCGTGACGCATCGCGAGTTCGGTAGTCAAGGGCAGGGGCTAATCCCAGTCACGGCAGCCACCAACGATCACGCCTGTAATCCAATATCTCCGACTTCTCCGCCCGCCTTTGTTCGACTTCGTTCGAGTACTACAACCCCGCAGATGAGCACAACAATCAGTTCGCGATAATTTCAACATGGACGCACTGCTCGGCGGCCTGGGTCTGAGCCTGGGCGGCGCACAACAACCGAAAGCTATGTGTGGTTCCATCTTTGAGCTCCAGGACAAGCTGCGAGCTGCTCTTCAAGGGCATGTAACCGAAACCCGCGCCGACTTCATCGCAGAGACATTCCAGATCCGGTCGAATGCTGTCTTCGAGATCCCCGTCAATGAAAACGAGAACGAAGCTTCGGAGAACGCGTCAAGCATCGATCCATCGCTTGGAGAAGGGGTGCGCGCCAGTGTTGGGCCTACAGTTATTGGCAGTGATGGACAACCCGCGCGTCGAGTCAATGCTAGTGACGCTGTCATCAATCAACCGGCAGACGACAATGCGGTTCAGAAGCTTGTGGCTAGCCATATCACCACATCGCTAGGTCAGATTGATGGGAGTCGGTGGGTGGTACGGGCTGTTGCACGGACCGATCAGGGCTGGGCTTTCAGCTACATTTGCAAGGACTCATGGCAGTCATGGAGTCGGCAAGCTGCGAAGACCCCCGCCAAGACCGTTATTAGTGAATGGAGCGAGAAGGGTGGACAGGATCCTATCCATCTTTGTATGTTTTTCTTTGAGATGGATACCATATGCATAACTGCTAACAAAATACTCTATAGCTCGACCAGCTTTCGATTGCAGAGGGTGCTTGAAGATATCCTTTCTTAAGTCATCGCGGACCATCGATGTTAAGTACGAACACTCACCGCTTCACAAGACTGTTGGACAACTGATTGAGCTTCTTGCCCCTCCGCCAGTTGCTCCTGTCGTAAAGACACCAGAAAATAAACCGAAAGAACCCAGAGCCCCAAGGCTACGCAAAGAGCCGAGAGCGCCAAAGGAAACCAAGACAAAAACATCACGATCGAGGAAGAGAGCTGTAGGAGAGGATGGTCTTCCAGTGGAGGATTCATCACAGCCAAAGAAGCGGCGAAAGAAGAAGGACTCTACGGCCCCAGCTGGTCCGGTTGGCGACCCTTCTGAGCGACAGCTCTACAACAATGAAGTCTACGGTGCTAACAATGCTCAGCCGAACGGAGACTACGCCGATCCGGTGCCCCCGGTCTTCAACCTCCCACCAGGCGAGCTGGAGAGAAGGCGGGATGTTGCTAACAAATTACTTACTGATGCTGGAATTGACCCACAGACCTTGTCGACTGAGCAGTTTAACATTTTTGCAAATCAGTCGCCAGATTTGCAGAAGGATTCGCTGGCTATGCTTGTGAAGTATGGCGCGGAGAGACTGCGAATTGTACATCCTACCAAGGACGGGGCAAATTCAGAGCAAAGCACACCATCCCAAAGCCCTCCAGTCCAGGTGCCAGCCTCAAGGACGCCCAAAAAGAGGTCGCGGAAAAAGAAGTCGGAGGCAGAGCTCCAGCCAGAAGAGGCTGTTGCACCTGTTGCCCCTATTGCACATGTCTATTCCGGCGCGGTGGAAGGCAAGAAACCCCCACGTGGTGTGTGTGACAACTGCCGGACTCACAAGCCACCCAAAGACTCCAAGGTAAGACATGTTCTAGAACGAGTAGAATCGGAGAGGCTAACACATGTTATAGTGCGACAAAGCGCGACCTGTGTGTCAAAATTGTCTCGCTAAAGGTTGGGTGTGCCACTATTCCCACAGAATACGGGGCAAGGAGTCGAATGTCGGCCCAGAGGCATTGGCTGCACCAAGTGTACCAGAGCCAGGCCCCGTTGCTATTTCAGACGATGAACCTGAAGATTTAGGGTCACCTGGATTTCACACCGAGCCTGCCGAAGACCACCAAGCCTCCCAAGAGCTTTCGCCAGACTCAATTGAAGAAGCGCCAGAACCAGTGGCTCATGACTTCCCTCATCAAATCGAATCACCCTCCGATACCTTCTCTCAAGCTCACGGGTTATATCACCACTCTTCAGGGCTAACCTTCCCTCAAACTTCCACAACCCATACAGAACTAGCACAGCCAAGCATAACCTCGGCACCTGTGGAACCTGCCCCAATGGAGTATATCACTCCTCCGGTACTAGAACCTGTTGCTCCGACTATACCTGAGTTTACGTATCCGGAAAATCACAACACAATGCCCCAGCCGCAGCACACGAGGGTGGTAGAACCACCCTCGAGGCCGAGAAGAAGCCTGCCAACTAGCCAGCCCTCTCATCACAGCAACACTCATACCGCCAGTCTCAGCAATCAGACAAGCCAAATAAGTGCTTGGTCTGCTCCTGCTCCTGCTCCAGCTCCAGCTCCAGCTCCAGCTCCAGCTCCAGCTCCAGCTCCAGCTCCAGCTCCAGCTCCAGCTCCAGCTACAGCAATGCCAACTCGGACTTCACCAAGACAGCATAGAAGTAAGAGGTCTGCTCCAGTTTACCAAGGTTATGACGACCTGCGACAACAGCAACCGTCTGCTTGGACCAGTGCCAACTGTCCTGCGGCCACACAGCCTGCTCAAGCTGCACACACTTCTCCCTACCAGTCGGCGGCACAGCTTTCTCCGGCCAAGAGTCGGCAGAGCAACCGATCTCAGACCCCTGTGAACAATGCCTCGCGCCAGCCTCAGCCGACGCAGTCAGTGACAAATACCTCGGGTTACTCTGCTACTCAGTCCTCACAACAGACAACTCAGCCAGATTCGACGTCGACCTCGACACAGGGCTACAACTACAACCAGTACTCGAACACTGCCAGCGCAAGTGCTTCAAGAGCCGATTCGTCTAATGACCGCATAGGCTACCAGCCCTATTCCAGCACACCGGCAGCGCCAAGTACGAACACGGCCTCCTTCTCCAACTTTGACAAGGCGCTCGAGAATTATAATCGAACAAACCACATGACCTCATCAACCAGTCATTCGACACCGGTATCCCAGAATGTAGCCTCCTCTTACACCACAACGGCAGATGTCACACCCAGCGCTTCCCAATGGGGAACTACTTCGACTTCTCAGACCCGGAACTCTCACAACTACAACGCCAATCAATCTGCTTCCAGCAAAAACTCTTACACCCAACAATCACAGGCAGTTCAGGGGTTTAACATGCGTCCTCAGCCGCCAACAATGCAGACTAGGAGCTCAACGGCGACGTATGCGCAGCAATCTCAGCAGCATCACCAGCAGCAGGCACAGCGTCATCAGCAGCAACAGCAGCACACCCAACAACCGCAACAACAAACCCAGCAGCATCAACAGCAGAGTTATAATACGTACTCTAACCAACCGCAGCAGCATACGAGTAACAATCAGCAGCAGAATTGGTATGGTTTTCAGAGTGGGAATAATGCCTCGTCGGCGTACAGCTCTGCGACTGCGGCGGCGGCTGGTGGGAGCGGGGGTTACTCGGGAAGTGGGGGGAGTCATGCTCATGGGGGAGGTCATGGGGGACAAAGTCATGGGCAGCAGCATCGGTCGATGAATTTGTCGAGTCATACTTATAGCAGTATTGATGGGGGGGAGCAGGCGTTGTATGATTTGTTGAGAAATAATCCTACAGGGTAGGGGGGTTGATGGTGTGGATGGGTTTCTGGCTTGATTCTACATTTCCAAATACGAAAAGGGGGTGAAATGGATGGGGAAAGGGGTTATATATATGTAATTTATAGATGCGGGAGACGCACAAATACATGGTATTTGCTTTTTTGCGGGGGGTTGTGGGATGTGTGGGGGAGAAGGAGGGAAGAGGGATGGGATACGGTGCGTTATACTATGGACAATGGCTTTGGCATTGCGTTGCTTGTTGCGGATATCGCAGTGCCTGTTGCGGTCGGTTAGATTTTAGATGGTGTTATTGCAAGAGCGGAATACCCGGCCGAGGGGAATAGAGTAGCTGTTATAGCTCGGAGTAAATACGATGACTTACATTACTTTGGTACTCGATTGTGGTTTGGAGGTGTGTGGGTGCTGGGAATCGTGATTGTGAGGTGATGGATGGGAGGCAATGGGGAGGTAATGAGAGGTGAGTTGATGGGGTGGTGCTACTTTTGAGTCCCCCTTTCCCCGGATCCAGTGACTTTTATTTACCTTCCTTCATGAAAGATTTATAATATAGGCTGCCTTCTGCCAACTTGTCTATTCGAAATTATGCTCGTCGTGAGGTTGTCAGCGGCCCAAGCTGGCCAGGCTACGCAAGCCTCCTTTCCCCCCCCCCCCTAAAGTTCGGACAGGAGGTGATGCCAAGATATTGTTGACACAGTCCGGTGAAACTGAGCAACCAGGCAACAAGAAAAATATTGGTTCGCGGGTGGTTTTGGAGTGATTGAAGCATCCAAGGCAAACAGACAGCATTGGTATTTGGTTTGAGATTGCGGTTCTAGTTCGGATTGCCAAGGGCTGTGTTCGAGACGTAGTGAGGATCTTCTAGGAATTAAAATGCTCATGGACCACAGACACAACTGCCACTCCTGGTAGCATTAGCCTCAGATGAAGAATGCCCAAGCTAAAACTCTCAAAAGGGAAGGCAGAAAATAGGTAGTAAGCCGCCACGGTACTGCATGGAAACATGGTTGTCCTACCTCTCTCCCCGAGCTCGAGGATGTTGGTCAGATCGAGTACAATTCAGTATTGCCATCAAAGCACAACAGCAGAGATCGCGGCCTGGACTCACTGCAATATCCATTGTTGTAGACGCAATTGCCCTAAAGTTCATCATCCTCATCTCAAAGACAATCTCTGATAACGTCGTTCTGAACGAAAGGACAAAACCTTGCTCTGTCAACCAAAACCCACAAAGACATAGGGCAGCTTCTTACTCCTTAAAAAGGACCTTTTTATCTCGTATCACCTCCAAGTCCCCCTTAGAAGCTGATCAAGCGCCCCATCCATCGCCTCCCAAGCCCCTGATCTTCTGCCGTAGCCTCCATTTCTATCTTCGCCACCACCACCAAACACAACCTCCATTTCCTGCATCAACTACCACATACGACCATAACCAACTGAAAGCTCGGGATCCCGTCCGCTCTCCCCTAGATAAGCAGTTGAGTGCCGAACTAGTACTCAGGTGGGTGACCACTGGGGAATCCTCGGTGTTGTATGTTTTTGCCGAATGAATTTTTGAACCCCACTGGCAAATCTGGGCACCCCCGAGCAAAGCCCTGCCTGTCAGAGAGGGAAAGAGGGCTTGGAGAGGACATATACCTACCCTAAAGCTGCAGCAGATGGAGCAGTATTCTATGTACAGGGAGGGGTGAGTAAGTTGGTGGTCACGAAGGAGGATTGATGAGAGAAAGGGTTAACTGAGGTGTCACGGCGAAGCTGGGTGTTAAAGGGTGTGAGAGAGGTATGTTATGTGAGATGAGATTTGTGAGTGTTCCAAACTTGCCACCCCGGAATACTCTCGATATTGTGCGCCCGTATCATACATAAGGTTTTCTTGTATGTCTTACTTTATGAGCTTATTGAATATCATTTATGGGATTCTGCCTACAGCCTTATTTTCTGACTCGTCTGTTTCAACTCTGCCTTCTTCTCTGAGATATTCGCACCAAAACTCACACAGTCTCTGTCAGCTGGTTTGCGGGAGGGGATTCTCTGTTGCTAGAAGCTTTTGAAGTCGAACAGCGACGTTCCCTTGTTGCTATGAGGGGCATCTAGGTTTATTTACTTCGTTATGTCTGTGAAAGTTGACTTGTTGTTTTGTAATCCTGTATGGGAAATGCGGTGGGATCCAAAGGCATAGCGAAATATGAATGGAGCAAGAACCCAAAGGGATTAAGGCACCAATTCTCCGCGAAAGGGGCACTGTTAGTGATTGGAACCAATCAGATGTGTTGTGGCTGGCTTCTCGGATAACATCCGATCCAGTCATGGGCGTTGGCGTGATTTTTCTAGAAAATCAGTGGCATGGTGCTCAAAACTACAACAATATACATATAACCTGGAGAGAAGCTCTTCGATGTCAAATATTTTACTTACTACCGATAAGCTGAGTCTGAATGTGCTCACGTCCTCCTCCAAAGAAGTACGAAACAAACCGGGTTCCGTTGCGATACATGTCAAGCATGACATCCGACTTCACCTACCAGAATGTCCCCCTGCCCAATCCCTCCTACTACATCCGCCTCCTCCACCTCCACCCTCCTTCACCTCTAGTCCCCGGTGATGCCTTTTCATCTCCCCTCCACTGCTCCATCTCTGTCTGCCCCATCGACCAACCCACCCCTTACCACGCCATCTCCTACACATGGGGTCCTCCAAACAACGAGCGTCACTATCTCCAAGTTCATCATCATAACAACCCCGACTCACCATCCCAGCAACTCCCCATCACCACCTCCCTCGACACTGCCCTCCGCCATCTTCGCCAACTCGCCTCAGGGAAAGTAGCCACGCTCTGGATCGACCAAATCTGTATCAGCCAAGCCGAAAACGCCTGGGATGAAAAGTCGAAGCAGGTCGGGATAATGCACAGGATCTACTCATCCGCCGAGCAGGTGCGTGTGTGGCTGGGGCCGGCAGAAAATGGGTCAAACGAGGTGATGGAAATGTGGGAAGAAGTCGGCAGGAAATGTGAACAAGAAGTCAATCTAGCCAGCTACTTCTCCTCCAACCTGAGTGCCATCCACACTCTTATCGACCATGTGAACAATCGGACTCCGGACGATCCAGTTACCCAGCGAATTCAGAGGTACATGGACTGGGCGGCGCCGCGAATGAAGCCCTACCTGAAGGGGATGACGGTCATGTTTTCCCGGCCGTGGTTTCGTCGCGTTTGGGTGATTCAGGAGTTTGCCCTTGCGGCAAACACGGTGTTTGTTTGTGGACTGAAGGTCATACAGGCGCAGTATCCGGCGTGGGTGCTGAACATGTATTCTCACTGCAGAAGCCGGATCTGGCCGGGTGACTTGACAGAGGAGGACTTTGAGGTTTCGGATAAGCTGTGGAATCCAGCGTTTGACACGTTGTTCACGATCAGGAAACGGAGACAGGATCATGATAATGCGGTGAAACGAGGTCTTCTGGGTAAAAACGAAAGCCCCCCACCAGGTCCGGGTGCTGGAGATTATCTGTTTGATCTCCTGGTCAAGACTTCAAGTGACCAGAGGATGGAGGCTACCGATCTGCGAGATAGAATCTACGCGTTGCTCGGCGTGGCGGTCGATCGAGAGAAGCTGGAACGGTTGGGATTAAAGCCAAATTATCAGAGGCGTAAATTCGAGGAGGTCCTACTGGCTACCGCTCGGGCTATCATACTTCGCGGAGAAGTGCAGATACTGTCCTTTTCCCAGTTTCCCAAGCAGCACACCCTTCCCTCCTGGGTACCTGAATGGAGACCCGGCCTGGCAACTCCATATTTCCACTACAGCAACAGGTCGCTAGGCCGTCTTCCCCCCATGTTTACCGCGTCTGGAAGCTCAAAACCCGCAGTTATCCAAATGGATAACCCGGCCATCATCGGCCTGCGCGGTTGTCGAATCGATATCGTCGAGGACACATCCGACCCTTGGACACAAACCGAGTGGGACATAAGCAATAACTCCTCCTACCTCACCTTCCTCCGACAAGTCCAAGCCCTTTGCGATCGATCTGCTGTCAAAGAACAGAATATTTATCCCTCCGAGCCACGCCGGACGGAGGCATTCTGGCGAGTTCCCGTTGCAGACTGCGAGATCTCCCCAAACGGCCTAGCCCGCGCCACCACTGCGCAGTCAGCCGAGATGTATGCCTACTGTCTAGAATCATGCGAGCTGTTTGAGTCCGCCTCCCCGTCTCAATGGGATTCAAAGACTGCAGCTAGGCACGAGGAGCTCCGCCCGGGAAGTGTGTACTTTACGTGTCTGGGAAGGACAGCCAACAAGAGGCCATTTCTCACGGAGAGAGGGCATGTTGGCCTCGGACCACTTTCCACGCGAGCTGGAGACATTGTCGTCATTTTTTCTGGGGCACCGATCGTGTACCTTGTTCGACCGACGGCACGCGAGGGACATTTTGAGTTTCTTGGTGATGGCTACTGTGATGGGGTCATGGATGGAGAAGCGTGGGATGAAACAAAGGCTGAGACCTTCTTTCTTGTCTGATTCATGCTGTGTTTTGGACAGAGAGGTTGGGTGAACAAAAAGAAATTCTTAAGTATCCAAAAAAAATATATAACATACAACACCGAGGATTCCCCAGTGGTCACCCACCTGAGTACTAGTTCGGCACTCAACTGCTTATCTAGGGGAGAGCGGACGGGATCCCGAGCTTTCAGTTGGTTATGGTCGTATGTGACCACTACCTCCCGAAAATGATATTATATCGACCATAACAACGCTACAAAGAGGGCTTCATGATGAGTTACACACCGCCATATCCTGTCTCCAAACTTTTCAACGCTCAAGCAGCGTAGTAAAGTGGAGGTAAGTAACTAGAAAGCGTTGCATTTAAAGTGGGCGAGAAGAAAAGCAAGAGTGCGATTGGGTCAGTATGATGTTGAAGATGTTGTTCGAGAAAGTTTTTGATATTGCCAAGACATCTTTGCTGCTTATGTAACTGACTATGTTGCCCAGACAAGCGCACACGTC